GGAGGCTGTGGCGCTCCCCCCCTGTCGGCACCTGCTGGGTGCAAGGCCCTGTTCAGGTGCTGGGGCTGCAGCCCCAGACATGGTGCAGCGGGTCTGAAGTGCCAGAGGAGGGACACCCTGTCTACGCACGTGTATGCAAATCCGCACAGGCTGGAGCGCGGCTGTAGTATCCGCACGCGCACGCGCACTGTGTATTGCCCAGAAATGGACCGGCTGGGGCGGACAGCTGAATAATTGTCCCCTGGAAGTGATAACACCCAGTCACCCGAGTGCCTTTTGTTGCACAAACCACAATCTTGACCGAGGCACTCCAGGCGCAGATTTTAGGAAGTGAGCCCCAACTCTGGGACTGCAGCTCTGTTTCCTCTTCTGCACCGACAGGAAACCAGCTGGCTCCGTCCTCAACGCTGAGACGGCCCCTGCTGACCACACTGCCCAGGACGCTCTTAAACCTAGCACACTTCTCCCCAGCCGGCCTCCGCACCTGTGTCCTGCCCCTCAGAGCTTTCACCTCCACTCCCCCTGTCCGCCTGCCTCTTCAATCACGCCTTGGTTCAACACGTGCTTTGTCTATTGAGCCGTGCTCTGTTCTGGGCAGTGGGGATTCAGCAGTGGATTAAAGTGAGTTCGTGATGCACACTGACACACACGCACAACCTTACAGCTGAACTGGGGTCGTTAGACATTAACAGAAGACAATCTGTAAACTCTGTGTGATAAGGGGGCCAGCAGGTGGCATGGTGGTTAAGGGTGCTGGACTCCCACATGGCTGACTGTGGTTTGAGTCCTGGACCTGGCAGCTTGCTTTCTCATTTTCTCTCTCTCTCCTACTCTGTCCCTCCCTGATAAAATTAAAATAAAAAAATAAAATTTTTAAAATGGAAGCGTTCAACAAATACTATCCGTATGACTTTTGGCAATCCTTACTCCTTTTTTTTTTTTTTTTTTTTAAGAGATTTTTGCTATAGGGTACATGCGCTTGCCAGCAAGACAGAGAGAAATCACTCCCCAGGAGGCATGGCCATGCCACTATCCCTTCTCCTCCATTCTCCTCTTGGGATCTTAGGCACACACATACATGCTCCTGGCGTGAATTTTAAGCCACCCGGTCCGGAACTCGAACGGCATTCAACTACATGGGAGTCCATTGACATAACCATTACACCATCTGCTGTTCCCGGCAATCCTATATGCCTCAGTTTCCTTCTATATGCCTCAGTTTCCTCATCTAATAAATGGGGATATTGATCATATCTACCCATAGAGTTTGGGATTTTATTTATTTATTTATTTTTTTGAGGATTAAATGAGCCAGTACAACAAAGCATTTACAACATTGAATATTTGCAACACGATAAGTGCTCAGCAATATTTGGTATTATTATTATTGTTTGGATGACACGCTAATTCCTACGTCAAGGATCAGGGTCAAGGGTAATCAGCAGACCCAAATAATAGGACACGTGATACAAAGCATGACACCCTACCTTGAAAGACTCCGCGGGGGCTGAAAGCTGGAGGCTGTCAGCTGACTACGCTTCCGGTAGCTAGGGACCTAGTCCTTCCTTGGACAGGGACCTGGTGGCACCACTGGTGGTGTGTCCACGTGTATTTGGAGGTCAGCTCTCTGTACCGTGAAACCTGGAGGCAGGGCACCAAGCGTGGCTTCTGTGACTGACCTTGCCATGACTCCTGTAAGTCGTTGCCCGTCAGGAGTCTCAGTGTTCACATCTGTGGGTTGGACCAGATGGTGGCCATCGTCTTCTGCCTGTTTTCTGCTTCGCGGCAAGGCTCAAGGCTGGGGTTGAGTCAAGCCTGGTTACCTTACCGCGTTTCTCTGCGTTTGCTCACCACCTCCAGATCCGGGAGCTCTATAAGCAGCGGCTGGATGAGGTTGAAATGCTGGAGAGGCACATCATCCAGGCCCGTGCACGATCCATCGCGGAGAAGGAGCGGGCCATGACCCAGGCCCAAGCGCACGTCCTCGAGACCCCCGTCAAGTTGCCTCCAGGTGTGTGTGAAGGACTCCCACGTGACCAGCCGCGCTTTCCCAGCTCTTAGGCGTTGATTGTATTTGCTCTGAAGTTTTTTTTCTGGACATTGGAGAGCAAGTCACAAACACGATGTTTCATTACCATAAAAACTCCAGGGTGCACCTCTCCAAAAGAAGGGCACTCCAGGACCAGCAGTTAGCATAATGGCTATGTCGCTGGACTCCCAGGTAGTCGACCGCGGTTTGAGTCCCAGACCCGGTGGCTTAAACTCACGCCGGGCGCGTGTGCATGCGTGCCCAAGATCCCGAGAGGAGAAGGGATTGCGGTGTGGCCATTCCCCCTGGGGGGTGATTTCTCACTTTCTGTCTCTCTGTCTCTCTCTGTCTGTCTGGTGAGCACACACACCCTATGGCAAAAACCTCTTAAAAAAACAACAACAAAAAACAAGGGCAGTCCTACATAACAGCTCACAGCCCTCCAGCCAGAAAGTCAGCACTGATGCGCAGGGACCTCCGGCCCACGGATCCATCTCGGTTTTCCCAGCTGTCCCCACCAGGGCGCTTTCTCTTCTCTGGCCCAGGATCTTATCTAGGAAGACATATTGTGTGTACCTGTCCTCTTTTTTTAGACTCTTTTGGGGAGCAACAGGTGGTATAATGGTTAAGACACTGGACTCCTACATGGCCGACCATGGTTTGAGTCCCGGATCCAAAAGTTTGAACTCACGCCGGGTGCATGTGTGTGCATATGTGCCCAAAATCCCGAGAAGAGAAGGGATTGTGGGGTGGCCACCACCCCCTGCATGGTGATAATCTCACTTTCTGTCTCTCCGGCGAGTGTATGCACCCTATAGCAAAAGTCTCTCAGAAAAAAAGATTCCTTTGTTTGGAACAATTCCTTGACCTCTTCTTGTCTGTCATGTTCCTGACAGGGTTTTCACTCTGTAGGGGGGTTCGGTCTGATGTGTCCCCATGACGTGTGCCTTGGGGAGCAAAACCGTATGACCTAACTCACGCTGTGCTGTCTCCCTGCAGCCCATCCGGGCACAGTGCTGCCCACCTGCATCAGCTGGGCACGTGGGCAGCTGCCAGGCGCTGGACTCTGAATTGTCCTCAGATTACACCAGTATCCTGTTCCTCATCACGGCGCCATCACCAAACCTGCATTCACTGAAAAATTCTTTTTTAAGAATTTTTTAAAATTTAACTTTATTTATTTATTTATTTTAACTTGACCAGAGAAGGACAGAGAGAAAGAGAAAGAAAGAAAATGAGAAAGCAAGCCGCCAGGTCCAGGACTTGAACACAGTCGGCCATGTGGGAGTCCAGTGCCCTTAATCACCATTCCATCTGCTGGCCCCAAAACATCTTCTTCATCAGTTAGCTCCAGGTGGGTTTTTTTTGTTTGTTTGTTTTGTTTCGTTTTTGCTGCAGAGTGTGAGCACTTGCTGGAAACAGAAAGAGAAAAAGAGAGAAAGCACCCCCCCACACACATACTCCCCCACCCCTGGGGCATGGCCGTGTTGCAATCCCTTCTCCTCCATTCTCCTCTTGGAGTTTTGGGTGTGCATGAACACATATCCAACATGGTTTTCAAGCCTCCAGGTCTGGGATTTGAACTGTGCAGTTAGCTGTGTGGGATACAGCCACCTTAACCACCAAACCACTGGCTGATCCAATGGTGATGTTTTCTTTTTTTGAAATAATTATTTAATTTAACTAACTTCCTTCCTTCCTTCCTTCCTTCCTTCCTTCCTTCCTTCCTTCCTTCCTTCCTTCCTTCCTTCCTTCCTTCCTTCCTTCCTGCCTGCCTTTCTTTTTTTCTTGCTCTCTCTCTATCTCTATTTGATCAGAGAGGGACAGAGCACGAGAGAGAGAAAGAGAGAAAGAAAGTGAGAAAACAAGCCACCAGGTCTGGGACTCGAACTGCAGTCAGCCATGTCGGAGTCCAGTGCCCTGAACTACCACGCCACCTGCTGGTCCCATTCATTTTATTTTTTAGCCAAGATAATATTCAGTCGTCCTCAGACATTATCCACCCTGGTTTCCCACATTCCCATGGATGCCCTTCTGGTTTTGCTTCTCAGGGCGGGACAACGTGCCCCGAGAACTTCTTTCCCAACTTAGATAAGTGGCGGTGAGGACATTCCCTAAAACTCTTCCTCCCCGAGGCACAGAGGCACCCTTTCTCTCTTCACTAATGTCACAAGGTCGCTAAAGTCTTGGTTCTCCGGACAGAGGGAGAAAGATGAGAATCCTACAGAACGTTCTGTGCTTTCCTTCCTGCCCTCGCTGGTCACGTGTCCACATTATCTCTCGGAGAATGAGCAGCCACCCTGTGCAGAGCCAAGCTCGGGAGCCGTCGGTTCAGTGCGGGAAGCCCACCCCTCTCAGATGGAGGAAAATGCTCTCAACACCACACAGGGTTTTCCCAGGCTCGCCTGGTACCTGTCCAGGCCTGCCGTGGGGACAGACTTCACAACCTTCTGATAAACAGACTGCTCCTGCCTCCTGCAGACACAGCACTCCTAAGTGACCCCAAAAGAGGATCCGTCTGCTTGACCGGAATCAGGCTGGCGGACCACAGCAAGCTGGTTTGCACAAAGGAAGCTTTATTCCCAGCTGGAGAGCAGGCGGGGACCAGGGAGGGCTCTCGAAGCAGTGTCTCCCTGAGGCGTGGGAAAACTGGACAGGCGGGGGTCAAGCACAGAAAGGGCTCTCAGGCACACGCGCAGTGGCCAGGTATGCATCACATGCTATTAACGGGACGGTAGCTCCTCCTGGGGAGATTTTAGTATTATAGTCACCTTTGGCAAGTGGACTGAGGTTAGGAAAGGTGAGATGGAGGCCTTTAAAAAGATAGATTCTAGGGACCAGCAGATGGCGTAATGGTTACATCACTGGACTCCCATGTAGTCAAACATGGTTCAAGTCCTGGACCAGGTGGCTTAGAACTCACACTGGGTGGGACCAGCAGTTAGCGTAATGGCTATGT